TTAAAGAAATAGTATTAGTCAGATATGCAAAAACACAGAATCATTTCAAACGGTAAGAAAAAAGTTTTTTATTAGAGTGATATGGATTTGTGGAAATTATGTAGTAGAAATGATTCTCACCATTAGGAAGAGATTTATTGTTTAGTTTCTTTTATTCTCAATTGCATAAAATAAAACATGCCAAACAGCTCCTAATAGTAAACAGTGTGCTGCTGCTGGTGATGATCACTGGTCGGAAAAAATGCTGAAGTGTGGAAAAATAAGGAGGACAGAGGAACTGACCGAGGAGGGAATCCTAGTGGAGCTGCCTCCATGGCAAATGTTGGGTGGGTGGGAGAGACATCGTTTATCTGAGAGTTATAGGGACACTAATGCAGGTTCACTGGTTTTCGATGGTCTTGCCCGAAGCTTCCAGAGATGTGTCTCTGGTCACTGAGAGAGTTACACACCAGGTTAGGAGAACCTGAATTCCAAAGGCAATGTAAGTGATCATGCAGGTCAGTAAATAGCTGACCCTATCTACACACATGTACACTAGCACCTGTGCATTGAGAGCTTCCTTGGGCCCTCCAGAAATGTTCAGTTCATCCTTTTGTTTGTTTTTGTTTTTTAATCCTCACCCTAGGATATTTTTCCATTTTTGTTCAGATAGTGGGAGGGAGAGAGAGAGAGACAGAAACATCAATGAGAGAGAACATCAACTGGCCGCCTCCTGTATGTCCCACACTGGGGATTGGGCCCACAACCTGGGCGTGTGTCCTGACCGGGAATCGAACCAGCGACCTCTTGGTACATGGGTCAACGCTCAACTGCTGAGCTATACCGGCCGGACCATAGTTGATAATATTGAAAAAAAAAAAAAAGATCAAATGATATTTCTACCTCAACAAGTAGAAATTTTGCAACACATTTAATTTGCCTTATGTATATGCAGATTATCTGTATATGCATATGTGGATATGTGTATAGTTAACCCTTTTTTGTACTTTTCTGCTCCTTAAAATTTTCTGCAGATATTAAGATATATATAACATCTAATTGATTTAATATATAAAATTTTTATGGATTTAATATTTCATATTTAACATGAATTTACTTCATTTATATTTGTGTGATGAAATGAACATAATTGGCATTATTCTGCTTTTATATTATTGTTACTTGCTTGAGAATACCAAAGGCATCCCTCTCTAATGTAGGACATCACTCTCCTAAAGTACAACATGTCTGATTTTCATTCACACCACAAACTGATTTGCCGTGGTGACATCTGACCAGAGCTAGGGTATTACAAGATTTTAAAAGCTTTAAAACCCCATAGATTTTGTTAATTTTCTCATCATCTCCAAGGTCATAATTATTCAGAAACTTGGGAATGTATTATCTAAGGGATTGATAGAGATCATATAGCCTACTCATTTTAATATTAAAAGGTGTACTTTCTTATGAAATTAAAAACTTTTACAAAGACTAAAACCAACAGAAGAGATGTATTCAGGCAAAGTCACTAAAAATGCCCTACAGCTATGATGTGTTAAGACTGGAAGTTTGGAGTTTGATGGGAATTAAATGTGTCACTTCACACTCTATTGTAGTATGGACATCTTTAAAATTTTTAATGTTAAAACAAAAACCTCACTAAACTTTAAATTTGAATGTCAGTAGAAGGCATTTTAAATCTTTTATAACAATGTATAATTTCAAAATTTTATCTAAAGTGAGACAAACCTTTCAAATAAAACAATTTTCAGCTAATTTATTATAAAAATGTTGTAACCATAATTATGATGAAAGATAAGCTACTGTGTTTTACATGAAATTATTATTCCTCCTTAAAAATCTATATCTTTCCATCTTGAATTTCCCTCAGTAACAGTAGTGTAGGGAGACATAGTAAGGCGAATATATCATTTAGACGTTTTTTCTTTTTAGTATATTTAGATTGTCCACTACTTCCAGGAACCACTCAACATGCTGTGAAAGTGGCTATGAAAAAATGTCCTATTATTTTGATACACATACTGAGGAGAAATTGATAATAACCAAATAAATGACATGCCATGTACCATTAAGTGATGCGACGGTGACTAAAACAAAGAAAGAGGCTAGAGAATGGAAAGGATGGGGCGATGATAAAACCAGGCACAGTTTTATACAGTTGCCCCATGCTGTCACGCAGGGCCCCGCATTCAGACGGCCCTTGTGTTTAGCCTAATGCTCTGCTTTCATGGTTTTAAAATGCTTAATGCATTTTGAACAGGGAGACATATATTTTAATTTTGCTCCAGGCTTCACATATTATATAATTAGCGATAGGTAAAGTTATATTAGATAGTGTGGCCTAGGGAAGGCATATCTGAGAGAAACTTAAGAAATAGTGGAGTGTTTTTTGCATCAGTACCTTCCCCAGTGATTACATTTCATAGGGAGTAACAAGTGCAACATCCTGTAAAATTGGAGGAATAACAGAAATGTTCGTAGGGATGAAAGAGAGAGAATAGTGGTAGGGTCTTGAAAGAAGAGAGTAGGGGCAGATCTTGACCGGAGTATGGTCCTCCTGTTCAATGTAAGGATTCTGTGCTCTAGTTTGAGTGAGATAATGACTTTTGAAGAGTTTTGAGGAGAGGAGGACGATCTGAAATACTTTTGAGAAGAATTGGTTTAGATGAGTAAGGAGACTATGTCACTAATCTAGACAAGAGTTGACATGTAGACAGTAACCTGTAGTGGGATAAAGGTGGAAACAAGATAAGAGACTAACTGCAACTCTCTATGGAAGATGAAAAGGCAAAATAGTGAACAAGTGCAACCTCAGTTTCTGCAATTATGCTGTGGATAATTCCAGAACTGCCCAGGACACATCTCGTGGGAGTATATCAGTGAATGTGTTTGGGGTGGAATTAAACATACAGGATAGGAAGAAAAACCATAAAGGGTCTTTTATGTTGTCTTTAGGGTACTGGGTAAGAGAACTGTCTCTAAATAATGCCACTTTCCTGCCATCCTTGCCTAGTGTCACTTCACAAGGTTATTATTTTTTGGTTTTCTTTTGTTTTGTTTTTTAAATGTTTTATTTTTTAAATATTTTTTCTTTATTGGTTTTAGAGAGGAACAGAGAGGGAGAGAGAGACAGAAACATCAATGAGAGAGAACATCAATTGGCTGCCTCCTGCATGACCCCCAACTGGAGACTGGGTCCACAGCCTGGGCATGTGCCCTGACCAGGAATCGAACCAGTGACCTCTTGGTGCATGGGTCAATGCTCAACCACTGAGCCACAATGGCCTGGCTAAATATGTTTTCATTAATTTTTTAGAAAGTGGAAGGAAGAGAGAGATAGAAACATCAATGTGAGAGAAATCTATTGATTGGCTGCCTCCTGCACAAGCCCACTGGAGATCGAGCCTGCAACCCGGGGATGCCCTGACCGGTAATTGAACCAGGACCTCTCAGCCCATGGGGTGACACTCAATCCACTGAGCCACACAGGCTGGGAACAAGGTTATTGTTTTGACTAAACCTCAGCTCATTTTCCTTCCCCTAAAAAAGATGTTTTCTTATTAGTATACCCATGGGAAATAAAAAAAAATCCAGATTTGTGAACCTCAACTTAGACCTACATATCCAAAATCTTTGAGGAATAGACTGCAGGAATTCATACAGCTATACAAAACATTTCCTGTGCTTTTTTTCTTCATAGAATTACTTTGGAAACTTTTTTGAAAATCATTAGGCCACATAAGTCAGGGCCTCTTTTTGGATGCTCTAGTCCATTTCATTGATTTATGTGCCTGTCCTTATGCCAACACCATACTGTCTTGATGACTGCAGCTTTATAAAAATTATTGAAATCAATATGTCTAAATAAAATTTGATCTTCATTTTCAAAATTGGTTTAGCTTTTGTACATCATTTAGCATTTTATATAAATCTTAAAGTAAGACTTATAATTTATCCAAAACACTAATTAAGATATTGATAGTATTTTACTACATCTATACAAAAACTTTGAGAAAATTGTGATTGTAACAATATTTAGTTCTCCAATCCATATTGCAGTATCAATTACTAGCAGAAAGCTACAAATATTTTATATGAAATTTAATTGAATGATAAAACGTATATCTCATAAAGGCAACATTACATTACGTAAAAAACATTCAATTTTTTGTATGTTTATGTTAAATTATGCACCTTTTAAAAAAGATAATTTGTCTTTATTGATTTTAGAGAGAGAGGAAGGGAGCGGGAGAGAGAGATAGAAACAGATGAGAGGCGATATCTATAAGCCACCTCCTGCATGACCCCCACTAGGGTTGGGGCCCACAACCTAAGCATGTGCTCCGACTGGGAATTGAACCAGCGACCTCTGGGTGCATGGGTCAACACTCAACCACTGAGCCACACCAGCTGGGCTACACTTTTTTTATAAGTGAACACAAAGCAGCAGCTGCCTTCTAACATTTGAACAGGTTTTCTTTTACTTTTATGATTTTTCTCAATTGCTGCATCGTTCTATTTTATTAAACATGAAATGAACAACCACATTGTGTAGTGATGATTTTTAAAGCAAGATACAACATAAAAATCAAATACGTTTAACTAATGTGGTGATCAAATTAAGTTATTTCTTCTTCAAAACAAGATAACATGTTTTCCTCACTCACTACATTTACCAAGTTGCTATGCTTATATTTAGAATAGACAGATACAATATCCCCTGTGAATTTAATTTGATCAATTACTTACACAAAACAAAATTTAAAAAATTAGCATCATTTTTCTCATTAAATGGCTAGTAATAACAATGGCTAAAATTTTTGCTTGTTAATATTTTTTTCTGGTTAATGGATGGGTGTTTTAGTATATTTCTCAATAATATCTTGAAAATCAGGCTGAACCTATTTGCAAAAAAATGATTTTGTAAGCTTAATTAAAAAGTGTTGGCATAGCTACATAGATTAAAAAAACAAAAACAACAACAAAAAAAACCCCGACTTGTGTTCACTTTGGCAATACATATACTAAAATTGAAATGATATAGAGAAGATTAGCTGGCTCCTGCAAAGGATGATAGGCAAATTCGTGAAGCATTCCATATTTTTTATGGAACCAAAATGGACCCCAAATAGCCACAGTGAAAAAGAACAAAGTAGGAGGGATCACAATACCAGATATCAGGTTATACTACAAAGCCATTGCAATCAAAACAACCTGGTAGTGGCACAAGAACAGGCATATAGATTAATGGAACAGGACAGAGAACCTGGAGATTGACCCAAGACATTATGCTCAATTAATATTTGAAAAAGGTTGGGGATATTGGACAACTACAAGCCCCCCCCCCCAAAAAAAAAGAAGTTAGACCACCAACTTACACCATATACAAGAATAAACTCAAAATGAATAAAAGACTTATATGTGACTTGTGAATCCATAAAAATTCTAGAAGAAAATGTAGACGACAAAATTTCAGACATCACATGCAGCAGAATTTTCACTGATACAAAACCTAAGGAAAAAGAAATAAAGAAAAAAAATGAACACATGGGACTACATCAAACTAAAAAGCTTCTGCACAACAAAAGACACAACCATCAATATGGAAAGGGAACCCACTATATGGGAGAGCATAATTGCCAATGATACATCAGATAAGGGGTTAATTTCCAAAATATATACAGTACTCATACAACTCAACAAAAGGAAGACAAAGAACCCAATTAAAAAATGGGCAGAGGACCTAAAGAGACACCTCTCCAAACAGGACATACAAATGGCCAAGAGACATTCTAAAAAATGTTTAATGTCCCTAATCATTAGAGAGATGCAAATTAAAACAACTATGACGTATACAAATTAAAACAACTATGACGTATCACACCTGCCAGAATGGCTGTCATCAACAAATCATCAAACAATAAGTGCTGACCAGAGTGTGGAGAAAATGGGACTCTAGTACACTGCTGGTGGGAATATAGACTGGTGCAGCCACTATAGAAAACAATATGGTGTTTCCTTAAAAAATTAAAAATTGAACTGCCATTTGATCCAGTTATCCCACTCCTAGGAATATATCCTAAGAAACCCGAAACACCAATCAGAAAAAAATATATGTACCCCTATGTTCATAGCAGCACTATTTACAATGGCTAAGATCTGGAAACAACCCACGTGTCCATCAATAGATGAGTGCATAAAAAGGCTGCAGTAGACATACACAATGGGATACCATACAGCTGTAAGAAAAAAAGATCTCTTATCTTTTGAGACGACATGGAGGGACCTGGAGAGTATTATGCTAAGCGAAATAAACCAATCAGAGAAAGACAAATATCACATGATCTCACTTATTTGTGTAATATAATGAACAAAACAAATTGATAAACAGAATGGACCTGAAGATATGGATGTGGGGTAGAGACTGAGCAACCTCAGAAGAGGGGAGTGGGGTGAGGGAAGAGATAGACCACAGAACTTATGTGCATGTATTTGTAACCAATGAACATAGACAACTTTGCTGGGTATGATGGGGCAGGGTGGTGGGATTGGGAAGAAGGTGTCAATGGGGGAAAAAGGAGAATCAACTGTAACAAAAATAAATGAATTAACAAAAAAATCTGGACTTAACTGAATTGCCTGTTATATGCACATAAAGTTTAGTAAAAAGATTCTTGCTCTGATTAATTCTGTGTGGATTCTAGAACAATCAAATTTTTACTTTTCTGAGTGGTCCTATAAAATTATACTAAGCTGAATTAATTTATTATAATTATGTACATTGTAGTTAACAATAGATATATTAAATAACAATTAAACAGTATTCTCTGTATAGAAATTTTGTGTCATTATATCATTTACTCAAAGTATGAATGGGTGTATACAATAAGTAATTACATTTTATACTTTTATATTTTGAGAATAAATAAGTTATATCTTGACAGAGCTGAACAAACATATGTAACTCTAAGTACTAGTAATGAAATGGGATGATTCTATGTCTTAATGTACAGAAGAGTAATTGAACCATTCTAATAAGGTTTGAATATGTTTAGTTTGATTGTAAACATGTATTGATCTAATTTTGTATTTTGTAGACTTAGAGGTAATTTAACCCAATATAGAGAATATTTTTTAAAACATCTTTGGGATATACATACAAATATATCTTAAATTTTTGAATGTAGACAAATATAGATATAGATACAGATATAGTATAGATATATACACATAGACAAGTAGATATATATTCGTGCACTGGTGAAATATATACATGTGTGCATATATAAACAACATACACACATATGTATATGCATATACATACCATAATTTTGAAGAGTAATTGAACTATACTTAAATGTGTGTATATGTGCATATACACACAAACATATAAGTATGTATATACATATATATGTGTGCATATATATACATACACATATGTATGTGTATTTTATTTGTGTTTGGCATATATATTTATATATATGATGCAGTATATATAAAATATATGTGTAATGCAGTTCAGAATTTTTTATTTATCTTACATTTTGACACAGTTCTATAGAATCATCTCAAAGGATTGTGGGCAAGGAGATACATTTCAAAGAGAAGAGTTCCATAATAATTTATATCTTCAGTTGACATACAACTTACTTTGATTAAGTTATTCTGTTGCTTTAAAAAAATGTAAAATCAATGGGTAGCATGTAAAATAAAATAAATATACTCAAATTTTCTTCTTGGGTGCCCATTCATTGGTCATAAGTCTTAGAGAAAAGCAAGTGTGATAAAATGCATATTTATCCAGATCGTCTTGAAAGAGTAAATATAATCACAAACGTTTACTTTTTCATTTACCATAGTCAGTTGGTTGCCATATTAGCCATCCTTCTTGAATATCTTTTACATCAATTCTTTCCTTTTATGCTTTGTGCCACACATTAATTTAAGGTCCTCACAATTTTTCAAAATTATTCTAATAGCCTCTGACAAATATTTATAAATCAATCCTCTACAGTGCTAAAATATCCAATATGTAAATCTATTTATACAAGTCTTTTATTTAAAATTTTCTAAGACACCTCATTGACTACGTGATAATATTATTTGGTATGGCATATAAAATATGAAATATTTCATTTTGTGATCCCTTAATATACAATTTCAACTCTGCCAATGTTTCATGTACTCTACTTCATCCAAACATTATATTTTATTTTTTAATCCTCACCAGAGAATATTTTTCTATTCATCTTCAGATAGAGTGGGAGGAAGGTGGGGGGAGAGAGAGAGAGAGAGAGAGAGAGAGAGAGAGAGAGAGAGAGAGAAACATTGACCTGAGAGGGACACATCAACAAGTTGTCTCCCACACAACCCTGACCAGGGCCGGGGACAAACCACAACCAAGGTACATGCTCTTGGCCGGAACTGAACCCATGACTCATTGGTCTAAGGGCCGACACTCTAACTGCTGAGCCAAACTGGCCAGGGCTTCATCCAAACATTTTTAATGACTGTGTTCCTTTAACAACAACACCTCTATGGACATCATTCCTCCTTTTTACACCTTGTTTCTCATGAGCTGCCAAATGAGTTAGTTACCTGCGAAGATATACCTCAAATGCCACTTATTTATGAAATCCCTCCCCAATTTTCCACACTATTAGACAATCTCTACATTTTAGTCACATGTCAATAGTATTTTTTATACTGAAGTGAGATAGAGGCAGGTTAGGCAGTGAGGTACAGGACCATGGGAAGTAAAGGCTGAGACATGTGGGAAGTTTGCAATGACTTGGAGCTCAGCACACAGGTAGAATCCAGTACAAAGTATATCTAGATCTTTAGTCAGGCTCTACAGATCTCAAAATAAAATTAGAATCAACATGGAAAATTGTGCCTCCAAGGCAAAAAACTCTGAACCCCCATTTATAGAAATGCAAATTAGAAGCTCCTGCAAGGAGCACTAGTCAATTATATAACAAAAAACCCAGAAAGGCTGGTTTCAGGCAAGAGGGGAACAGGATTACTAAATGAGTTCTGCTGCAAAACTATAGAGTGTGTTTCTATTTCAGAAAGCCGGGTTACCTTAAGAAGGGATATAGGAAATGAAAACTGGATTTAGAAAAGAAACCAAAAGCAAGCATAGGGTTGCTCCAATGGTGTTTCCCCTCCTCCTCACTAATAGCCTATGTTTCCCCTCCTCCTCACTAATAGCCTATGTTTCCCCTCCTCCTCACTAATAGCCTGTGTTTCCCCTCCTCCTCACTAATAGCCTATGAAATTATCATAAAAAGGGAATACACTAAGGCCCCTAAAGATAATTGGGGCTACTTTATTTGTTCTTAACCACATCCAACTAAGTTGTCTCTTTCCTGGGAGTAAAGCTTCTGTGCAAATGTCAGGAATATATAATCAATGTCTGTTTTTAAATCAGAACCTGTCCACTTCCAACTAGGGAAATGTATGGGACAGAATATATCTTTGCTGATCAAATCTGCCCCAATTCACCTGACAAGGCAAGCTTTTTATAAATCAGTGATGCCCACATATGCTTTTTCCAGAAGGGTACTATGAATTTGGAGCTAGATGACCTAGGGCTAAACCCAGTTAGGAGGGAAATACAAGCTTTAAAATGTATGCATGTTGCTAAGGCAGAATTCCTTGAAAGGACCAATCGGAGGCTAGCAAGGCATATATCTACCCCTAGCAGCCACACTGGCAACCCACTTGGGTCCCTTTCCCACTATCAAATATCTTTCAATTTTTCTATAATGTCTAAGCTGCACATTTCTATTTTTTTAATGGTCTTAGTTATTAAAATGTTAATACCATTAAGTCTCCAAATAGTGTTTTTTATTTGTCTATTACAGTTAGAAGATGGTTACTTTTCTTATGAAAAATTTCATTGAGAAGCTGTCACTTGCTTTCCAGTATTAAACTCATTATCATTTGCCTTTAAGAGGATTTCTGAAATGCTTCCAATATATTACCATATTGTTAATAGTTCCCTTATTATACAGCTTTCAATGAGCATTTAAAGTAATGTTATATTAAACTAAATATATATTTCTGACAGGAAAACCACAGGTTGTATTATTGACTGTTA